GTTATTAAAATTAATGTTATCTAGAATGTTCCAGAAATTTCGATAAAGTTCTACAATGATATATAAATGGCTATAAAAGCTTATGGAAACGTTAAAGAGATGCATCATTAAAATTGAACCTATGATATCGCGATCCGATCGGATAACGGGATCAAACCGGGATTGGAATCATATTATCAGGAAATGGTATCCTATCAGAAAAGAGGATCAACCCGGGAAACGGCATACTAACGGGATCTGCATCCTAACAGGATCGGCATCCCACTCGAGTTGGAAAACGCAATCCTGACGAGATCGGTACCCCACAGGTATCGGTGTCCGACAGCTATCGGTATTCAACGGGTATCGAGGTACCATTGGGATCTGAAGACTAACAGGATTGGGATCACACCGGAATTGGACTCCAGAAGGATCAGAATCACACTGTGAACTTGTATGCTAACGGCAGTGGGACACCGACGGGATTGGGATCCCACCGGGATCGAAATATTTATAAGGGCTGTAGACTGCAGAATTTCCTTCGTTTCGAATGCTATCCCGGATAACTATTTAGAGTCAACTGTCTATTTATACAAATGATTTAAAAAATAATCGCCATTAAGTCCTAACACATTGAGATCAGTGAATTAGATTGTACAAAGAAAGACAATATTTAAAAAAAAAATGATCGTATACTTTAATGCGTTAGAATTAATAGAATCCAAGTATTATTCAAATACCTTTAAATATATATTGCAAAACTTTAAATTGTTTGTGGAAAGTAGACATTAAAATGTATTATAATTATTTATTTATTTAAATTTATATACATATATATGTTACCGGCAATGTGTGAAATGCTGACATTGTATAGAATGCCTAGGCAGTCTATAGAATGTCTGAAGTTTTTAGGCAAAGTATGAAATATTTTTTTACGTGATTATTTTACATACTTTGCCTAGGCATTTTATACATTGCCAAGGTGTCATACATAATGACACACATACTTCAGGCACAGTTTCAAAAGAGCGTAATAAAAACGTTTTTAATGGAAAAACACATCTGAAAACAAAAGAAGTATGAAATAAGTGAACGGCATTCTTGAGAACGACTTTGTTGAACACAAGAAGCCAAATGACATACCTCACAATTAATATCTGAGAGAACAATATATTATGTATATGAGGAACATCAATATTTTAGTTTGACCATTGACGCCGCCTACTTTACTTAAAATTTGGGTTGGTTTCAGAACTGCTTCTAAACTCGATTCAAGTGCTGCGACCACCAACAAATCCCCCTAAAAGATGAAAATCGTTTGTGAAATAAAAATGTTGAACACACAATAGTCAAAAGAGTTGCTGTTTCTCAAACGAACTAGTGTGACAGTATGATATTGAATTATTTTTTAGCTGGCATATTAAATGAGAACAAATATTTCTCAATTTGAACCCCCCTTGCCAACCACGTTTCATTTACAGAAAATGCCAAACTATTTGATTAATCAGTATCTTACTAAAGCAACGGTTCCTGACCTGACGTAAGCGTACCCACATATGCAACAACAACATTAATTTTTGAAAAAGAACACCGTATTATGTAATAAATTCAATGTGGATGTTTTAATTTTTCCCCTTTCAAAACTAAAAATTAAATTTCTATCTTGCATTTTGACTAAATGTATTTATTTAAAAAATACATATATAACAATAATAATAAACAGTCATTAAAAGCCAATTTGTTTTATTTGATGTTTTAGCTAATCTATTTTTCTTTTCTGTTTTTAATTTTTAGGGATGAGTTGGGTACGGGAAATGAATGGTGGACATGGTGGATAGTCGTATACAAACAGTTAAATTAAGAGGTACTAATTTTTTGCAAAACTACTGGAGACCGCTGTATTAATTCAGAGATCAATAGAGATACCTTAAAGTTTTCATTAAGTTGTCCTTTCCTTAAACACAATGAAATGTCAAATCAAGATTTCTGCTGTAAAGATAGTGACTCAGTATAAAACTCAGCAAAATTAAAATGCCATTGTTCTCTCCTTTACCGGAATGAAATCGCATACTAATTATATTAAACAAGGTTTCATTTGCAATCGGTGTCTTAAAGGTTTAATAAATATAAAATTCTCTAACTTGAAGTGTCAGTGGCTTGTTCTAAAGACAATAATTCTTCATTTTTAATTTTGTTTTTATCTAGGCACATATGGATGATGTAACCAGGTTATCCTTCATAGAAGAGTGTGGATTAAAAGCTTGTTTAAAAAATTAAAAAAATTATATTTCAATTATAAAATCAGATATTCCAAGTAAAAATTGTATTGAACAATTTTGTATGGAATTTTTATGTTCAATGTATTTTCTAGTATCGAATTTGAAAAGTTGTTTTATTATTGTAGTCTGTCTGATGATCATACTTGTATACTTTAGTTTATTTAAATGTTAATATTCAAATAAAGAAAAGCCACAGAGCATCAACCTATGTTACTGTAAGGCTTTAAATACAGATTAAATTTATTGATTTAAATTACATTAAATTGAAATAAATGAAGATCTGTAGACTGAAAACTATTTTTTTTTAAAACCTGCAAATTATTAGAGAATTCGTTGAAAAAAATTAAAACATTGTAATAATCACCAATATTATTACCTTTTCAATATAACAACCATTGGTAAGGATACATTTCAGTAGTAAATACCAGAATTTTAGTAGCATATATTTGATAAATCAAGGTTGGAATTTAGCTCCCGATCCGCCCCAATCTCGGGTGTTTGGGGGGGGGGAATTATATCCCCTCTGTCATTTCCATGCATGTAGCTGTGTCTAATCTTCCTTTCCTTCGTTCTCGGTACATTATGAATAAAATTTCAGTAGTAAATACCAGAATTTTAGTAGCATATATTTGATAAATCAAGGTTGGAATTTAGCTCCCGATCCGCCCCAATCTCGGGTGTTTGGGGGGGGGGGGGAATTATATCCCCTCTGTGATTTCCATGGATGTAGCTGTGTCTAATCTTCCTTTCCTTGGTTCTCGGTACATTATGAATAAATAAATCAGCTCTGTTTAGGATTTTAAAGTCATTTTATTTGCTGCAATATATTAAATCTAATGCATTCAAAAGATCAATATTTTTATGTTTCACTGGGACAGAGTGGCGGTCGTGCTGAAGGGGAGGATAAATGTTTAAAGGAATGGGTGATTTTTTATTTGTTGTTGCTGTTGTTGTCAGCTGTACAACAGATTGACTAGGAATGAGAAATGCATGTACCTGCAACATACATGATAGCGGTGTCGGACAACATAAATGGTAGAAGAGTTTGGCAACAGAGCTGGTAGAAGAAAGAAGTAACATAGAGTTGGGCAAATATAGCTTCAGAAAGTTTAAGGCAATATATAAAGTAAAGGAGTGGGACAACATAGGTCTAGAACAGTGTGGGTACATGGCTGGTGGGAGAGTGGGGCAACATAGCTGGTAAAAGAGGGGGCAACATAGCTGTTAAAAAATTGGGAAACATAGCTGGTAAAAAGTAGGACAACATAGCTGGTAAAAAGTAGGACAACATAGCTGGTAAAAAGTAGGACAACATAGCTGGTAAAAGAGTAGGGCAATATAGCTGGTAAAAAAGTTGGGCAATATAGCTTGTAAAAAAGTGGGGCAACATAGCTGGTAAAAAGTAGGACAACATAGCTGGTAAAAGAGTAGGGCAATATAGCTGGTAAAAAAGTGGGGCAATATAGCTTGTAAAAAAGTGGGACAACATAGCTGGTAAAAAAGTGGGGCAATATAGCTGGTAAAAAAGTGGGACAACATAGCTGGTAAAAAGTAGGACAACATAGCTGGTAAAAGAGTAGGGCAATATAGCTGGTAAAAAAGTGGGGCAATATAGCTTGTAAAAAAGTGGGGCAACATAGCGGGTAAAAAGTGGGACAACATAGCTGGTAAAACAGTGGGGCAAAATAGCTTGTAAAAGAGTGGGGCAACATAGCTGGTAAAAAGTGGGGGAACATAGCTGTTAAAAGAGTGGAGCAACATTGCTGGTAAAAAGTGGGGCAACATAGCTGGTAAAAGAGTGAGGCAACATAGCTGGTAAAAAAGTTGGGAACATAGCTTGTAAACGTGTGGGGCAACATTGCTGTTAAAAATTGGGAAACACAGCTGGTAAATGAGTGGGGCAACAAAGCTGGTAAAAACTGGGGCAACATAATGTTAAAAAAATGGGGCAACATAGCTGTGAAAAGTGTGGGGCAACATAGCTAGTAAAAGAGTGGGCAAAATAGCGGGTAAAAAGTGGGGCAATATTGTTAAAAGAGTGGAGCAACATAGCTGGTAAAAGAGTGGGGCAACATAGCTGGTAAAAGAGTGGGCAATATAGCTGGTAAAAAGTGGGGCAACATAGCTAGTAAAAGAGTGGGTCAATTTAGCTGGTAAAAAGTAGGGCAATATAGCTGGTAAAAGAAGGGGGCAACATAGCTGTTAAAGATTGGGGCAACATAGCTGGTAAAAGAGTAGGTCAACATAGCTGGTAAAAAAGTGGGACAACATAGCTGATAAAAGAGTGGGACAATAGCTGGTAAAAGTGTGGGGCAATATAGCTGGTAAAAAAGTGGGGCAACATAGCTTGTAAAAGAGTGGATCAACTTAGTTATTAAAAAAGTGGATCAACATAACTGGTGAAAGAGTGGAGCAACATAGCTTGTAAAAGAGTGGATTATCAATTTTAATAAATTATATATATATATATGTTTTAAATTTATACTTACAAATTGATATTTTTACTACATCTGTACCTCGGAGCATTATAAAATAATGCTCCAGCTTTAGTTAAAAAGTACCTGTTCAAGAGCTTATGGTACTATCTACGCTCCGCATCAATGTCTTGTATTTCTCAATGCAAAATAACGTTTGTGCAACATACAACATAACATTCTGAAAATGACACGATAATTTAAATCATTAATGTTGTGTCGTTAGGAACTTTGGCTACACTGTCTGATAGAAAATCGATATTGATAATCACACCAATGTTTCAATCATTTCCTCATACACTGACAGGGGTCTCGGCTCAATGATATCAAGCTCATAATTTAAATATTCAGCGCCTAGAACCGAACCATCGGGTCTTTCCGAATAGCCTGTTTTGGGTATAACATTATGCCCTATGTGATCTTCGTCTGTTCTGTGATTTGATCTACATACGGATGCCAACTGTTTTAATCTCGTAGTGCAAAATTCACTTGACATATGTGCCAAAGTGTCATGGTCATCTGCATAAACAACGACGTTGTGGTCCCGTAGGTGGTAATGGACTTCAAAAGGACGAAAAGATTGCCTCTGAGATATGTAGTCATGAATCAATATTTCGGAGTACGGTGGTGGGCCGGACGAGGGTTCAGAAATAGTGGCTTCCACGATGGGTCTTTGCGGTATTGACAACTGTGGCAAAGGCGGTGTACTGTGTTCGTCTTCGTCTGAAATATATATTTGTAAAAATAATACATGTTCAACTCGAATTTCAGTACGCTACAACGACTAAAACAATAATAATTAAAGTTGGAATGAATTGTATTTAGATCATCAAATAAACTTCAGCTTTTGATACTTCTAAGATGTAACTTTTTAGTTAGACCAAATCTGTAATATGTACATGCTAAGTCACAAGTACGATTATATTATTTCATCTAATTTGAAAAGGATGTAACCATTAGTCCTAAAGCCCAACCACCAGCCAATTTATTATTAAAGATGTGGATTATTATTAATTATACATTTTGTATTGCTTATTTCATCAGATAACTTATAGAAAATACAATTAAAAACTAAAATAAAATATTATGAGTCAGCATAATTAAAAAACAAAACAACTAATTTATATATTCTAAAAGCAAAAGAAATTGATGTGTGTATATATCAATATATATTAAATGGAACCCCAAAAGTCCGTTGGATGTGTTGATTTTAGGAACGTTTAATGTTTATTTGATAACATATATCTGCTTACCAACGATTAGTGAAGCCAACCCTGGCCTGCATTCCCATATTCATCGGCGTACCCATTATTACTGAACCCAAACCTCGTTAGAGACATATATACATCGGCCAATTACACCAGCTATAATGCATTAACAAAATTACTTTTTACACACTTATGTTATTGGTCGCCGGATAACTTTATAAAACAATGATGTCACGTGACTCACCCCTGTGACGAGAAAGAGGGGCCACGACATTGTAATGATCTTCCTGTTGACGTAGACGACTTTTTCTTCGCACTCGTCTGCGCACTAAGTAAACAACTATCACGGACACGACAATCAACAGTGTCACGAAGAGAACCACGTTGATAATCAACTGCGTGGACTCGTTGCTTGTGTTTTCTGAACTCTGGCCGAGGCCAGAGGTTGTTTGGGAAACTGTTTGGTCTAAGCTGGTGTGATTAGGCTGAGAGGTGGTGCTGGCTATAAAGTACTTTGATGGCTTTGAATAGTTTGATATAGTCTTGGTTGTGATTTCTTTACTGGAGCTTGATTGCCTTGAAAATGTTCGAAATTCATCATTGGTTGTGTCATCGTATTCAGTACCTTCTACTAAAAAAACAATTTAAAAAAAATAATAATAACAATTATAATAATCTCAAATAAATAAATATTCGTACCAATAAGGAATCAGACATATTGATTTTTAAAGCTGCAATAATTTAACATTTTAATTGATTGTATCCCTTACCAACCATCACAATTTATATAATAAAACCCTACAAATGATAATAATAACTTATTGGGTGTATAAAAAGTTGATTGAAATTTGTAATTTTAATATTAAAAAAAAATCAATACTTTAAAAAACAAGGATACATTCACGATTAAAAAAAAAAAAGTACATGTTTTTATATGTTTGAGCAGAGGCGTCACTAGATTTTTTGGCGCCTGGGGACAAGATTAAAGTTAAATAGCCGCCCTTTTTTTTCAATTCTCAAACACAATATTTTCATCAATAAAATAAAATCAAAGAACATTTTGGCGCCCTTAATTAGTCTGGCACATTTGGACATCCATCCCCCATCTGTCCCCCCCCCCACCCTTTAGCTGCAACTCTGTGTTTAAGATTTCATGCGCTTATCGGATTTAAGTTTGTTAATGTCATAAAGCATTCTTCTGTGAGTGATTTTTTAAGCGTTAACTGTTATTGTTTCATGTACAAACCATGTTTAGTGCAATAACAAAACAATATAAATACACAACTACTTACTCAATAATTGTATATCCACTGTGTAACCAACCCATGAGTTTGTATCAGTCAGGACAGTGATGTTCAACAAACCAACGTCAGTGGCCTGAATATTCTCCAATGTCATTTCAATAAAATGTAAAAGTCTAGATCCATAGTTCCTACCCAAACTCCTGTCCAGTTTCTTGACCACTAAAACGTTTTTTGAAGGAAACCCTTGGTGTTTCAGCTTGGGGTAGTCGGGCTCGGTTATAGGTCCGACAATGCAAATGCTCCAGCTGAATGTGTGTCCAAGCTCTGACATGACGGTTGCATGGTCACTCTGGTTGGTGCACAACTGTGGTGGACCTGGAAAAATATAAAATAATGCTATAATTAGGTTGTTTTTTTTAAAATGAAAATAATTAATGTATCAAGATTAATTCATTTACAAAAATATAATAATCAAAAACCTTGCAACAAAAAAGCAATACGGAAGACCAAAACTAATCAGTACAGCTTCTGCTGCGAGAAATGCAGCCGAGTTTGTCATTCCAGGATCGGCCTAGTGAGCCATTTGTACATAGTGTACATAGCTACTCCATCAGTTATTTAAGACGGAAGGATGCCAAATATTTTAAGAAAAAACTGCTATCTTTTACATCATTAACTTTCTTTGTTTAATTTAATTAGAGCAAGTGCATAGTGTTATTTCTATTTCGAATGACAAGTATCATCTAATCTTTTCTGCAAAATATAGGTTGTAGGAGCCTTAACAACGTGCAGAAAAATCGATTTATTATAAATATTGAAACTTAAAATCCCATGCCTCTGAATTTCTGAAATGTATAATATAGATCATGCCTGCACAACATACGTCTCACGGGCCGCGTGTGGCCCGCCAGCACCCACTTTATTATTAATATTTTCTTAACAGCTCCCCCCCTCCCCACCCCTGACCTATATTCTTTTTGCCTGCGCAAGTCCTGTCCTATTTCCTTTTGGGCCGCACACATTTTTTCATAATGTATTACGGGCCGCATTTCATTTTCGGTTATGCAGGCCTGATACAGATCATGGCTGTGTCTAAATCATTTTGGGAAGAAGATGAGAAGCATAATGTAAGTGGCTTAAGTTTATCACAGAATATTCTTAGATACAATCTTCACAAACAAGTTGCGTTGCTGTCTCCGAAAAAGAAACCACCAAGGAAGTCCGTAGGTAAACAACGCTAGAGATATGCCCTAAACTGTACAATAAAGTTTCCCTTATTTCTAATGAACTACCTACATTAGTATTTAAATGAATGCATTAAAATTTCACGGTTAGAAGTATAAGAAAGGGCCTTAAGTACTAATTCATACAATGCAATATATTTTCAAATTGTTGTGTGTGTTTTTTAATTAAAAAAAAAAAATTTAAAAATTTTGATTAATACAAAATTGTACTTCCATTTATTAATCCACGTCAAATAATCGTTACATGAATTGGTTATGTAATATCGTACACCAAATTAGAATTGTGTCTTTGCTGTGGTATTATCAACTGTTATCAGTCCATACTGAGAATATATTACCTTATCGACCCTACATCATAGTTTCATGTCGGCATTTTATACATGGAACATATCAACTACATCTATGCTGAAATAAGATGTCATTCACCGGAAATGTATGACAATTGTTTTTGTTTAATTATCAAATCATTAGACGCAACACTGAATCACATGGAAGTAACTTGAAAGGCCTACAAAGAATGCACATGACGAGAGATCCGTTTCCTGTTTATCTTTCACCATCATCGTCTGCTGGCGAACTTCGGCCCTGATTTTGCATTCATCATAATCAATGGCGCTACGACCCATGCAGGGTCCTGGCCTACTCCCCCACATCCTTTTATTGGCTTTCCGTCCCCATGCGTGAACCCCCAATTAGTGTAAATCCTTCACTACATCGTCGATCCATCTCAGCCTTTTCATTTCATTTGTTTAACAATTTAAGACATGATAAATTCATTTAAAATTGCATCGAACTAAAATTTGCTTGTTAGAGCGTGGGTCTACACTGATGGTCCATGTCATGTTGTCACATGTTTATGTAACTATGTTATTGAAACTGGTACATACTCAACAAGGTAATCTCTTATATATATTGTGGTACTGGTGTGGCTGCTTCCTTTTTGCAACTGGCCCTTCCCCACTCAACATATTTTATACTATTAGTATTTGGTAAAAAAAAAAAAAACCCTCCAGGAGAGAGCGCCATGCGTGACGGTTGAACTCATGTAAAGATGTTGAATTTTTTTCTGAGGCTTCTATTATACTTATCTATAAATTGCCACTTTTTATGGTGTAGCACTGTCGGTTGGCCTGTCCGAAGGCCTGGTGTTTAAGGAGGGCAGCTAGGGTGTAGCACTGTCGGTTGGCCTCTCCGAAGGCCTGGTGTTTAAGGAGGGCAGCTAGGGTGTAACACTGTCGGTTGGCCTGTCCGAAGGCCTGGTGTTTAAGGAGGGCAGCTAGGGTGTAACACTGTCGGTTGGCCTGTCCGAAGGCCTGGTGTTTAAGGAGGGCAGCTAGGGTGTAGCACTGTCGGTTGGCCTGTCCGAAGGCCTGGTGTTTAAGGAGGGCAGCTAGGGTGTAGCACTGTCGGGTGGCCTGTCCGAAGGCCTGGTGTTTAAGGAGGGCAGCTAGGGTGTAACACTGTCGGTTGGCCTGTCCGAAGGCCTGGTGTTTAAGGAGGGCAACTAGGGTGTAGGACTGCCTGTAGGACATTTTTTTTAAACGCTGGCATTTAATATGCATTACAGAAAATGAAAATTTACCGTTTTGTTTTGTAACACTAGGACACATGGGGTATTTTCTAACAATATCCGGTGTAACAAAACTCCCCCCCCCTTTTCTGTTAAGCCCTAGTACCAAAGAACTTACCTAGCTCGAAAATCATGAATCATCATCTAGGCGAAAAATGTATTTATATTTTAAAATAGTATGTTTTGAGACAATGCATTTTATTCATTTAATTTGCAGGACCTCAAAAGTAGTCGTCTGACTTTATATAAAATATATATATATAT